GTGAACTAGGGGGGCTTCGGAAAGTCGCATAGACCGGTTGTACTTGCCTCGCACGCTATCCGCCGCGCTACAGACCTGCACTGCGGTGGACTTCCCGTCGTGCCCAGAAGAGATTTCCGGTCCCCGTCCGCTACTTATCAAGTTCTGCTTCGACTCTGCGGTTGCACACCCCTGGCGTCCGTGGCGCTTGGATTCCAAGATCCTCCACGACGAGACCACGCGCCGCACGTTGGGCAACCTGGTCAAGGAGTCGCTAGTGGATGTGTGCCCAGAGCCGGCGTCTTGGGACCGCCTGAAAGGTGAATGGCAAGGCTTCAGCACTCTGATGGGACAGCACCTCCGCGAACGGCATCGAGGGCTTGTGCAAGACACTATCCTCCGAATCCGTATCGTCCGCCGAGGGGGCGCCTTGACCCACTTGATAAGGGCAAGCCTGGACCGGCTGCAGAGACGATACGAAAGATACCTTCGGTTGGACTCCACCGCGTTTACCGTCTTGCAATCTCAGGGGAGCCCGTCGGTCCACACGGATGTACTGCGCTACACCTATCGCACAAGCCTACAAGCCTTCGAGAGACAGCAGATCCCCTCCGCGTCGGGGTCGCCCGGCCGCCTTGAGAATGGTCGCTTCGCAGCTCACTTCCGGTCGCTGGCCCAGTCGGACGGGCCGGTTGATCGCATATCGGTGGCCTCGCACACTCTCATCAGCGTCCTCCTCAAGATCTCCGCCGTGGATGATGCGAGCCTGCGGCGACCCCCCTCCGCGACCGAGCTGTGGCACTGTTTGAAGTGAATGAAGAACGGCTCCGCACCAGGACCGGACGTTCTCCCAGCGGAGTTCTACCGCACGTTCTGGCACATTCTCGGGAACTTCTTTACCACTGTCGTGCTGGCCTACTTTGAAGACCTCCTCCTTCCGCCATTCTTTCGGCTGGGACGGATCGTACTCAGCCCGAAGGAGGGTGTTGACCACGCTGACCCCGGGGCATGGCGTCCGATAACGTTGTTAAACAGCGACTAGAAGCTCCTCGCGTCTGCAAGCTTTGCTGCTGGAGCTGGTGAACCCCCGACAGACCTGCTCGGTGTCGGGCCGGAGCATACATACTTTGACGACTCTCACCCACGACATCCTGGAGTTCACACGCTCCCGACGGGCGAACGGGCTTCTCCTGTCGTTGGACCAAGCCAATGCGTTCGACCGCGTCGAGCACCAACCTGCGTGGTGTTCCCGACAGGTTTGGCTCCTACTCCGAGAGCGCTCAGCTGTTCGCAGCTTTGTACAATGACTTCCGGAGTGACCTGTTCCTGAACGGCTCCTTAGTGACACGCTTTCCGGTAACGCGAGGAGTTCGGCAGGGGTTGCCGCTGTCTCCGGTCCTTTTCGTCCTCAGCTTGGAGCCCTTTCTGGTTGGACTCGATAGGCACCCCAGCATAAGCGGACTCGCTCTACCTAAGTTCGGAGAGCTTCGCGTCTCGGAGTATGCGGACGACGTGACCCTTTACCTACGCAACGACGACAGCCTGGTGAAGGCCCTCGGGCTCTTCGACGAGTACGCGCGCCTCTCCGGCGCGCGTTAGAACCCTGAAAAAAGCAAATCTCCCTGCAACGGGGCTCCCCCCACGTGCCCGCCTTCGCTGCCACGATCCCGGTCCGTCACCATTCTTGGAGTCTCGTACGACGCCTCCGGCGTGGCTCCGGAGACCTGGGCCCACCTGCGACAAGAGATATTCGAGATGGCCGCTGAGGCTGGCCTTTACGACTTCCCCATGGCTGTGCGGCGGTACCTTGGCCAGAAGTTCTTCTGTGGAACGTTGTGGCATGTGGCCCGCGTAGCCCTCCCGCCTCACCCCTTCGTTCTCCAAGTGCGCTCGGCGCTGTTTGCTTTCTTTTGGAACAACCGCATGGTACTAGTGAGGCGCTCCTGCTTATGCCTCCCCCGCTGTGAAAGAGGGTGGAGCTTTCCGTGCATCGAGCTGGCAGCGCCCATACTGGCCCTGAAGAAAACCCTGGCAATCTTTGACGACCACGACAACCCAGCACGGCCGCTCACGCTTTACTTCCTCGGCGCCAATAACCGTCTCTTGCGAGACCCTCTTCCGAGTCCTCTTCGGTCCCGTGCTAAGACAACCCCTGCATTTTACAAGCCTACCGCGGATCTCTTCGACAAGCTCAGCGTCCACGTGTCACGAGAGGAGATAGTCGAGGCCCCGGTGTCTAGGCTTGTCGAACGCCTAGTTGTGGCAAACCAACCCCCGCCGCCGCCTGGCGCGGTGCAGTCCTACCCGTGGCTGGCACTGACGTCGTCCGCGCTGCCGGACCACGTGCGCAACTTTGAATGGTTAAAGGGTTGGGCTGTCCTTCCAACAAAAGACAGTCTATTCCGCTGGGGCGTGGTACGGGACGCACAGTGCGTCAATCGTGGTGCAATAGAAACAAACGCGCACGTCGTGAGAGAGTGTGTACCGGCGAGGGACCTATGGCGCATAATACAGCGCTCGTTTCGCGACCTCGGGGTGGACGCCTACGTCGCATGAGGCCGTTTCCCGTGGGGCGCCTTTGCGTGGCAATAGGGAATTGTAGCAGACCGTTTTTCTCCTCCGCAACGCTATCCACGAAGAAAACGCCGCAGCTGCGCATGCGCGCCGCCAGCCTTGTCTGCATAGTTCAAGGTCTCGTGGCGGATTACGGACCGTTATCCGGGTGCTTAGCGGGCTGCGGAAACGGCCTACTACATTTTTCCAATATTTGAGTGGGTGCTGTGGCGGAACCGTTGCGCCGCGACGGCCCAGTGACAACGACGCCGCGCGCTGTGGCCACTGTTGTGGGATATCCGAAAAGAACTCACCGCCTACCTGACCGACCAGCGCTTCTCCTTTGGCGAACAAGAGTTCCTTCGCCGGTGGTCGTGCCGCTACCTTTGTGCGGTGGGGGGTCGCGTCGTGATCGACTTTTTACTCTTTGATGCATGGGCCTTAAAACTGTAGTTGATGCTACAGATCAGTCCCCCGCGAGACTCTTGAATATGTTTGTTTCGTGCTGAGAGCGTCTTTTTTTGTGGAATAAATTTTTCTGAACAGCTGAAGGAACACCGTCCCTATGATTTCTCGAGTGCGGGCGGTGGAGTTTGGAAATAATGCAAACTGTCTATTAGCTTGGACAGTGTTCGCGCATTGCGGAAGCTACACGGTAGAAACTGAGTAGAATCTGGGTAGAAACGGGTAGAAACTGCCAGTGGAGTATACGAGAGCTCGCGGGGATGTCGGAGAGATGAGCGATGACTGACAAAATTAGTGAGTAAACGCAAGGTTAGCTGCCTTTGTCTGCACTCATTCTTCGAATGCGTTTAAACGCCTAACGCTGGCGTCTGGCTTTCGGCGTTCGTATTTTAACGCGTTGGATTAGTGAGTAGAGACAAAAACAGTTAGCTTCCCACTAATCATTTTCGTCAATGCTCTGCTCTCCTCCGTTCCCGCACGCTCCGGTCTCCTCACCTTCCTCAGTTTCTACGCGGAGCACAAGTTTGTCTGCTTCTTTTTTTGCAGTGGTCATGGTGACGTCAGAACGCCGAGCCCTAGTTGGCTCTGAATAAAGGATAGCGGGTAGACATCGAGGCAGCTTGCTTTGGGGTCGACCCACTATCTTTCAATTATAGCCAATCAGAGCTCGGAGTCTTTTCGACGTCACCGCAACTCCTGCGCAAGAAGCAGACGACTTGCTCTCCGCTTTTTCACATAGGAAGTACTTCTTGAAGGACATAGCTCTGTGTGCTGCGGTTAAGCGCGTACTGATAGCCTGCGTTCACCAGATTTCTTTCACACCGCCAAAGCTGTTGCTCAAGTCACGCAGCAAGTTACTTTAAACACTGCTCCTTCTGACGTCACGTGGATAGCTCATATAGCCCTGCCATATATCTCACACCGTATAGCGTCGAGATGTTTCGGTGGCGCCCTCTTATGGTTTCCATCCGTCACGTCACGACTGGGATTTGCCTCGCCCTGACGTCACCAGTTGTTATCCTGGCTACTTACCATCAGGTGCGACGACGAGTTCGGTGGTGTGTTTAAAAAGCACAGTGGAAGCTAGGAGCCATCGCAATCCGAAACTAACACCGTCAAAGTTGACAATCTGACAATGCTCATATGCCCATGGTTTGGCCAATCGTGGAAAGCTGACCACAGCGACGCTTTTGGTCGCACACATCGCTAATACCCTATGAAAGTCGTGCCATTTGCCTTCCCTACTTGCCAGCAGAACAAAAATATACGCATACTGACACCTAGACGACCAAACCCTTGAAAAGCGATCGTCTTATCGGTCTCTGCTGCCAAGGCAACACCCATTTCGGTCCTTCACAAACTTTGAAGTTTCGAAAGGGTTGTTCTGAACAAACCGCGCCAAGATTGCTATGAAGCGTATCGTAATCAACGCGTTCCTCGCTAATATAAGCGTTTTTGGAACTGTGTCTGCAATCAACTTATCAATCCTGGTTATCTCCACAGATATCCTGCAAAGATTTGGCTCTTCTTGCTTAGCTCAAGACAGGAAAATTATTTTTCTGTATTACCAAGCACCGGCGCCACACGTAGCGCCGGTGTGAAGATGTGCGCGTGTTTAGTTAGTGTGTAGATAACCAAATCTTAGCGCGTAAAATTTGTCTTTCAAAAGTTACCTGTCACAGTGCACTTAGATCGGCTAACTTGGAATAAAGAGGTTAAGAAGAAACTGGCTCATTCTAATGGCCGAAATCGGGACTATACGGGGAGCTTGGCGCTATTTTACCATGATTCAGTGACTTTAGTCATGACACCGTTTCCTAAACGTATTTACGGCAGGTATAAAACACTTGATCACTCTATTTAAAACTGGAACAGAGGAGTCAAGACCGGCAGACAATTAGCTGAGCTAAACCAACTATACAAAGTGACTGAAGTTTACGGCGACTTCATTTTAATTTGCATATTTTTTCACTATGAATGTTGGAACCATGCATGTGTTTCAGGGAAGTGAACATATTCATCGTAGAAACTCACTACCAGAAGCCTCTTCCTTTGTGCAAGACGGTGTTCCCATCGGCCTTCAACAGCTACGGTTCTTCTATGCCCAGCGTTCCGATTGTGAGTGGACAGAGATATACCTCATGTAAAATTGGATAATATTCAACGATATAAATATTACTCAGGAACCCAAAGGAAGGTGGAACTACTGGAAAGGCATTACAAGATGATGTTGCACCTTTTATAAGATAGGAACCCCAACAAATCCGGAATCTTCATAAAGCGCGGAATAGCAAGGTAGTTTCATTTCAATGCGTTAGTCCTAAAAACATGAACAAACAGGATCGGCTTTTTTGTTTGCTAATGATCAATATGACTAATCACGTTTGTTGTGACCAGACTTGTGCCTATCTCAAATGCTCTACTCAAGATACTGTATTTAAAATACCCTTTGAATTATCTTGGTATCTTGCAAATACTTTTGATCGAGAGTATTTAATACTCTATCTTAATTATTTTTCTGAATATCTTGTACTCATTATCTCAAATACATTTTGACATTCCACCATTTTCCGAGTTTTTCTGTACGAAGTGGCATGGGCGTGGCACAAGCAAACGTGTACATTCTTTCGATCAACTAAATCCTGTTGCTAGCTCGAATTAGCTAAAGTGACTTCGATTGAGCTCGTGAAAACCTCGTTTTTGTTTTTGCCGATAGTGACTCTTATTTCAGCTTAAAGTTCGTACAACCAAGGTTTTCCCCTTGCCTTCCCAACGGCGCCTTTTGTTTTCCCAAAAAATCCTCAAACAAAAAGGGTGGTTTTACGGAAGTAAAGATAGCCACACTGAGGCGCAACGCAGACCGGGAAACGACCTACGACAACAATGCAGAGTTGAGTGTCAAGAAAATAACAAATAAAAAAATAATGAAGTGGACACACACACAAAAAAAATTTTTAGCTTTTTGTATATTTGACTCTGCTACGGCAAAGCGTCGAGGTTTTCTTTCGATTATTTCTTTTTGTCGTCAGTCCATCACTTATTGCTCGCGAACAGTGTCTGAAAGCGAACATTGATAAGCAGAGAACAGGACAGGAAACAAACTAGGAGCTGGATGACCACCCAAAATGCCAACAAAGCGTCCCCAAACGTTGAGTGCCTTTCTGAACGAAACCTACTTAAAGAAGGTGCGACCACTGCCGTGGCTATTATGTGGGTTCCCTTTATTATCCATTCACTCATATCCGTATCCCAAGTTCGTTTATCGTAGACTCCCCATATAGACCGACACGCGGGCTTGACGTCACGGCGCTGCGGAGGCGCTGCAATCGCGCCGGAGCCGAGGGGTGTGGGCAAAAGAGCGCACGTTTCGCATGGGCGTCATAGTATTTCAGCATGCCGCGAAGCTGTGTTGCCGTTAATCTCACCGAAATTTACAAGAAAAGTAGCGGAGTGTGCTTCTACAAGTTCCCGGCAGACTCTGAAAGGCATAGACGGTGTATAATATCCGTGGATCGAAAATTATGGTCGCCTCGCGCGTTTGTGCGGCAAGCACTTTCTTGGAGGCAAGTGCGGCTTCCATTTCAATCTCCGTTCCGAGGCTTGCTTATGTACAGGGAAACCGTCGCCTGATCAAGAACACCCGGATTTTGTTCCCACGGTGTTAACGCACAAAGCACCGGCCAAGAGCTCATCGGAGGCTCGCTACGCCCGTGCTACCCAGCAGAAGGGGATCGGCGACAGAACGGCGGTGTTGTAGGCGTTACCAAAAAAAAGTAACGAAATAAGTTACTCGTTACTTGCAAATCAAAGGTACGCGTTACTGAGCTACGTTGCCTAAAAATAAAAGGAACGCGGTACCGCTACAGATAAAAAATAACGCACGTTACTTCTGCGTTACTTTTGAAGTTATGATTTAACACGTTTTACGGTTTTGACGATACAGGCATGCATAAGCTCATACATCAAGAAAGATTATGTTCATGCAGAAACAGAACATAATTACTTTATCTCTTTTTATGGTTTCACCTAAACACTGACGAGAAAAAACGCGAAGAAAAACATAGCTTGACGCCTAAAGACACGGAAAAACTTGAAGTGTAATTGTAGTAACGAGTAACGTAACTACGTTACTTGAAATAATAACGTAAGTACGTTTCCCGTTACTGTGTCGAAAAAGTAACGCGTAGGTTACTACGTTACTGAAAAAAGTAACGCGTTCCTGGTAATGTCGTTACTTGTAACGTGTTACCGCCAAGACTGCAGAGCGGACAAAGCGTTACTGCTTGTCATGCCTTGTGATCATGAGAGTAGGAAAAGTAGCATACCTTGACTTGAAGACGATGTGTGCATTTATTTAATTAATTAATACACTTCCGCAGACCCACAGTCTGCTGATCCCGCCGGCAGTGCGGAAACCGACTCGAAGTAATTGTAGGCGTCGAGAGACTTGTACGCCTGCTCCGTGTCCGCCGTGAACTGGCTTGGCGAAAAAACTAAATAAACGACGACGTGAGCCGTCGACTTCGGTGGTAGCATCTTCACGTCGGAAGTCCAGCAGCCCTTGTTTACGGCGTACGGATCCTCGTAGGCAACGCCGTCCACGCACGGTTTGTTTCGATACCGCCGCCGTTCAGGCTCGGGTAGCGAGCTCAAATAGTCGGGCATAGCATACGACATACGTTGCCAGAAAATACGACGCACAAACAAAGCTAGAAGCGTCCCTATACAACGTCAACAACGAGCGCACGCCACACAACGCAGTGGCGAAAACACGAAGGGACGGGTCGCTTTTGCCCACATAGCTACCGCGCATGCGCGGCCTTCCGGCCGTGTTGGTAAACAGAGCCGCTCCGCGTGTCGGTCTATAGGAAATGTGAATTGTAGTTAAACGATGCGTCTAAGGTGCGCTGCAGGACGTGATATTCAGCAATGTCACTATAGGCGAGGCGCTCTGACCCGTTTGTTGCCCCCACACCTCGGTGTTTACCGAACCCAAGGCCTCTGCACATGCCCACAGGCCTTGTGGGAATGTTCATGTTATCTCCTTTAATAGAGCGCGGGACACATTGTAATGTAAAAATACTAATAATAAACGAGGTGACGTTAAGTGCCGGATCTCTCCCGAAAGCAGAAGTAAGAGGATGCGAGCTTGAGGGCCCTTGTACTGAGCTGGGCACCGCGCATACTGCATTGTTCACGCAGGTTGGAGTGGTAACAAAAGAGACCCTCCTCCCCCTCACCGGAGGACTCGAACTCCACCCGATCGCTGAAGCCGCATTCGGTTATGTCACCCGAGTGCTGATTTATTATATTCGTTGTCCTCATCCGTGTAGTTCTAAAGTTAACCACTTGGGGCGCCACGGTCTGATCTCCTCCCCAGTAGCTAAAGTGACCTTTCTTGTTGTCCCAGAAATGTCTTGCAACTTGTATCAGGGATATTAGGCAATTGTAGTAGACCGTTTTTCTCCTCCGCTACGATATCCGTGAAAAAACGCCGCAGCTGCGCATGCGCGCCGCCAGCCTTGTCTGCATAGTTCATGGTGTTGTGGCGGATTACGGAGCGCTATCCGGGTGCTTAGCGAGCATCGGAAACGGTCTACTACAATAGACCGAACTCACCAAGCGTTCGGCGCATGCGCGACGCCACCATAACTTTAGTTCACAGGAGGCAAACGGCAGTGCACGAGATGGCTCGTAGCGTCTTGTGCTCTACCCGCGCAGAGCTCCATAGAGGTAGTTGCACGTGCAGAAAGACTAAAGTTCCCTCTATGCATTGCGGCAGCGGCGGTATTGGGCAGGAGATCGAACTATAGGGGGCGCTCTGACCCGTTTGTTTTCCCCACGCTTGGTGTTTACTCAACACAAGGCCTGTGCACATGCCGACAGGCCTTATGGGCATGGTCATGTCATCTTCTACAATAGAGCGCGGGGCGCAGTCTAATGTAAAAAATACTAACAATCGACGAAGCGACGTTAAGTGCCGGATCTATCCTCAGAGAATGCGAGCTTGACCCACTTCGGCTTTTGTGCTCTGCTGGGATCGTGCATGCTGCATTGTTCATGCAGGCCGTAGTGGAAACAAAACAGCCCCTCCTCCCCCTCGCCGGAGAACACGAACTCCAGCCGAACGCTGACGCCGCGTTCGGTTATGTCGGCCGAACGCTGCGTCATTGTATTTGTTGTCCCCATCCGTGTAGTTGTTAGGTTAACCGCTTGGGGCGTCACGGTCTGTCCTCCTCCCCAATAGTCGAACCGCAGCCGAAAATGTCTTGCTCTCATTGAAGACCAAAATCTAACCACCCCTTCTGAGAGTGGCGTCAATGCTTTTTGGTGGGCAAGCATTATTCACCAAAGACAAAATTTTTGATCTTGTGCCGAATTCTCGCAGCATTACACATAGGTCGCACTGACGTCATTCCGTCAAAACTAATGGGAGAAAGGGCGCGTGAGGGGGTAGCTTCCGCTGCACTAACGAGTCGTGTCTGACCACCGGAAAGATGAACGGACTGACGTTACGTGCAAGCCATGTATTGAGAGACACATTTTGTCGGGTTTTCACCCACTCACGGACGGTGAGAGAAGTCTTATTGACACTGATGTGTTTCTCCTACTCATTTTACTTTAACAATATGGTTATATATTATATTGCCTCGTTCACGCGCCTCGACCTAGAAGTTGCATCATTAAAACGTCTGTACGTTTCGAATGAGAAAAGCAAATTTACAATACATGCATGTTAATATTAGGAATACAAATTACTTTAGAAACAATTAGCCTAAGGCGGAACCCACTCAGCAATTCTACAACCAATATGTGAAGTTAAACATGAATGGTATCAGTAGGCTCTGAAACACATGCTAAGCGTATGCAGTCTTGGAGTTTTTCTTTATGTTTAAATTTCACTAGCTCGCTTGGGCCCTTAATTTTGTTCACTAAGAATAGAAGTGGTTTTGCTTCATAATCTTAACCTACTTCAGCTGGAAAGAGTGGTACAGATTTCGGTAGCTAAATCCAGTTGACATTTTTTGTTTAGAATACAGGTCTTAACTGGATGAGATCAATGCAAACCCCTCGATCTGCAAGACCAAGGGGCACCATTTGCATATCGTTGAGCATGGTGGCACTACTCTTCAAAATCTCGGGTACAGTGGACCATTTGCAACCTGGAAATCCATGTTTCGAGGAGATATGGATGAATTACGCGGAGGTAAGCCAACCTCATGTGTGTTTGTTTCGCTTACTCTGCAGGCGTGTTTGCTAGAAAGACGAGCATGTTACTTTGGAAGGATTGTATTTTTACTTAGTACTCTGCTATCCACACTAAAACGTAGGGCGGCCGAAATGAGAGGACGCTGGTTCAGTCTCTATGAACAAATTACAAGTGAACGTTTCCGTAATTACTGAATGAGCTGCTTTCTATAAGATTCCTGAACAGTAGTTAAATGTGAAAAAATAAATTTTATAAGAAAAGACACGACGTGCAGACACGCACACACAATTTCATTACCAGATAGCTTCTGCCAAATTGGTGCAGCTATGCTCTAGGCATGTAAATTCCTATTCTAATGACATCTGCGGAAATTACATTTTAAAAGAAAATGCGATATCGCGTTGCATTTGCCAGTTAGGAATATATGAACATAGGGCTAAATGCTTCCGAAGTCAACACTCCTCTTAAGAGTTTCCAACACATCATACTTGTGCCACATTGCGATAAGCTAAGGCATTGAAAACCAGTGTGCGATCAGAGTCCTCCTATATCAGCGAACATTGAGCTTATCATTCGTTGGGTGGATGGTAGTGAAAGATAAGTCAAGCAAGTAATAACCCACGCAATCATCGTCACAAAACAAAATCTAGATTCACTTTATTTCTAAAACGAAGGGGTGCGTCGCTGTGTGTAACTAAAAAATAGGTATAGTAGGAATGCTTCAACAACGTAAACAAGGCGCGCCAATTTTGCGTAGATCAAAGTTGTATACACTGACGCGGGGCTTACACAAGCAGGATATTCAAGATAACTTTACGTCTGAGTGTGCAACATAAGATCCCATTTTTATCTTTAGTTTGTTGCAAGATGAAAACTGAAAAGGACACCCCGCCCCATTATTTCAAGTAAGGAGTGACGTCATTGTGCCGCTCAGAACGGATGCGCCATTTTCTCGACGTCTCGGAAAGAAAGTAGCAGCCGCTAGCGTCTCTTTATCAAATTTGACGCCCTCAAAAGCAGAACTCCGCCCAATGCCCAGTGTACTTCTAGCACTATTTTTTTGAGCGGAGCATTTTTTTTAGTGGGCAGAGCCTCGTTTTTAGTCATGGTGCTGTGACAGACAATAAATACACTATGCAATCCCTGGCAGTTTAATAGCGAGTTCGTTTCACACGCACTGGCACCGTTCGAGTTCTCTCCCAGAATGCATCGCACTCACGGAGTGTTGCACGGAAAACTGGACTCAAACGAACTCGCCAAGTGCACCGAGTGCAGAAGACTGATGCTGCCGCCATCTATGTTGTAGAAAAGGTACCGACTTCAAACCGAAACTAGCGCCTTTTTGTTCGGAGTGATGCGTGGGAATGCGAGAATGCAGTCGCTACCAACGTTTATCTACAAACGTTGGTCGCTGCAACCTGTAGTTTATAGTTGCGATGACTTCAAGCAGCTAGGCTGCCGTAGAGATAATTACAGACGGCGTAAATTTCCGCAACCAGCTCTCTACAAAGCAGCTGGTTGCGACCTTTCAATTCTTATAACCGTTTACACTGAAGAAAAGTGATGATGCTGCCCGAGCAGAAGCTTGATCCGTTTGAGCATGGTATAACGCGTGAACCACTGAAAGGGTACGGCTTAAAACTAGCCTGTTGGAATATCCAGCAAAATTGGGACTTTCGATTTGGATCGTCATTATAGGTGGATTAGATATTAGCCTTGGTGAGGGCGTCGAGAACGAGAGCTTTTTTGAACAAAATACGACGGGGCAAGTTAGCTGACATAGGTAAATGTTAAACACGATGATGTCGCCCAATCCTCGGGTAAAGTCTCCATCTTTAGCTTTCTCTGATGCTTATTTGGCAGTCAGAGGTTTCTGCTGGGGGAGTTTTGTCGACAAATGTTAAATTTTTCACCCGCACACGGATGGTGATAGACATCTCGGGAGCCGCTGTTGCGTTTGTTCTGAGCATTTCTTTACAGCGTTTGTACGGCAACAGAGCTATTTAAAACCTGCAAATAAATCACGGGTTGTCAATTGCTTCTTTCGTGAAATAGCAGACGCTCACAATTCAAGCTCGCGTTTGATTTCGTTGCCCGCGGGACGCGATTTCTATCAGAAAATTGTAGCAGACGAACCCTCGTCGTCTGCTCCCGCTCCTCGCCGGCCCCACCGGAGCGAGGCATGACGGGATTGCATTTTGGCGCACTCCCGATTTTCTCGGTGCAGCGAGTGCATGCACCCGTGGGGTGTCAGCGCTGAAACGAACTCGGAGGGTGCAACCGCTCGTGGAGTGCCGGCCGAAACGAACCCGTTCCACGCTGCGAGGGGGCACGCGTGGGCACGAGTGCCGTGAAACGAACTCGCTATAAGAAACGCAGAGTGTGGCAAGTACTGAGCGAAGCGCAAGAAATAGTTCAGGTGGCGCAACGCTGCCCCTCCGCCACAGAGCCGTCGGGGCGAAGACCGGCACGCGATTCTCTCTCCACCCGCCAGGGCGCGCCACCAACACGGAGGCCGTCCTTTCGTGAGCGGTAGCAGGCGGTATCGTGAGCCGGGCTGGAATGGTGCGGAATTTCTTCCCGGTTATCGATTTGTTTCTGGCCAGTTTCGACTTCCGGAAATTACCGCCAATAGGGAAGAAGTGCCTCGTGCCACGGTGCAACGCGGGACACCAAACGTGAACGGAGAAGCGGTCCCATTTGCTACTCCAAGGGAAGAGGACCGCCCAAAGGAATGGCGTGACGCCATCCTGCTCAAAGACCGCCTGTCTCAGGCCCCGTGTACCTGTCTCATCGCACATAGCGACCCTGTGTACCTGTCTCACGCCACGGCCAAACTGCTTCAACAACTACATGAAAATGCGGATTCCGCATTAACCCCCGTGATACCCGGGATGTTCGTTTTCTTGGTTTTAACCTAAGTACGGTTACCAACACGCTCTCTCACACTCCGCAGCGCGTCAGTACCCTCAGGAACACCCTCCAGCTCCTTGACACCCCCCAGCCCCTGGCCCGCTACCAAAAGTTAGCCGGACTCTGGTGTTTCTATTTTTCTCTATATCGTGCTGGATACCACGCGTTGCGACCCCTTTTCGACGCCGCCCAGACCGGACGTTCTCCACCTCGTAGGTAGTGTCTGGTGTTCAAGACGGTGTGGGACAACCTTCCCCATGTGGTCCCGTTGGTCCCCCCCCCCCCCCCCCCCCCCCGGTGCACACCTCGTTCGCGGACGCCTCATCCACAGGACTGGGCGTGGTTACTTTGGACTCAGCCCTCGCCATCATAACTGCCCCTGACCGCCAGATCTTCCTCCTAGAAGCCTTGGCATGGCTTGTGGCAGCACTCCTCGCAAGACCCTCCACACTGATCCACACGGACGATTTGGCCCTACGAAGAGGCATCACAGCGGGGCACATCCGAGCCCTACCGTGGGAGTTGTGCGTTTCGTTTTCTTTTCTTTCAATTAAGGACAACCTGCGTGCCCGTTGGATCCCGACGGATCTCAACCCCGCCGACATGCCCTCACGTCTTCCTCACACTTTCCGCCCACTCGCTTCTGCGATTGGTTGAGGGCATGCCGGCGGGGGAGAGGGGGTGTCTCGATATAAAAAGCGAGGCTCCTCTTCTCGTGGTCAGTCGGGTTTTTGGCAGTGCAGAGGGAGCACGTCTCCTGTCCACCAAGGGTTCCCTTGGTGGACAGGAGGGGTTGAGATCCGTCGGGATCCAACGGGCACGCAGGCTGTCCTTTATTGAAAGAAAAGAAAACGAAACGCACAACTCCCACGGTAGGGATCGGATGTGCCCCGCTGTGATGCCTCTTCATAGGGCCAAATCGTCCGTGTGGATCACTGTGGAGGGTCTTGCGAGGAGTGCTGCCACAAGCCATGCCAAGGCTTCTCGGAGGAAGATCTGGCGGTCAGGGGCAGTGATGATGGCGAGGGCTGAGTCCGAAGTCACCACGCCCAGTCCTGTGGATGAGGCGTCCACGAACGAGGTGTGCACCGAAGGGGGGGGGGGGGGGGACCAACGGAACCACATGGGGAAGGTTGTCCCACACCATCTTGAACACCACACACCACCTCAGAGGTGGAGGACGTCCGGTCTGGGCGGCGTCGAAATGGGGTCGCAACGCGTGGTATCCAGCACGATATAGAGAAAAATAGAAACACCAGAGTCAGGCTAACTTTTGGTAGCGGGCCAGGGGTTGGGGGGTATCAAGGAGCTGGAGGGTGTTCCAGTGGGTACTGACGCGCTGCGGAGTGTGAGAGAGCGTGTTGGTAACCGTGCTTAAGTTAAAACCAAGAAAACGAATCTCCCGGGTGGGTGTAGTTAGAGTATCACGGGGGTTAATGCGGAATCCGCATTCATGTGGTTGTTGAAGCAGTTTGGCCGTGGCCTAAGACAGGTACACAGGGTCGCTTTGCACACAGCAAGCTGAGTGCAAAGTAAGACACCAGCAACAATACGTCGACTGCCAACGAGGAGTGGTGTACGAAATACCTTTCACCTGCGGCAAAATAGGTGTGGGACAAACAGGCCGATGCATCAATGAACGCTTACGAGAACATGCCTTAGCCTTGAGATCGTCACCAGCCGGCCATCTTGCAATACATGCAAGGGACTGTATGTGCTCAGCAGTGTTTAGCCAAACCAAAATCCTAAGACGTTTTAGGTCCAAAAGAACACGCGAGTTGTATGAAGCTCAAACAATTGTGTCTCGTGGGGCGGTGTGCATGAGCGCCCCATCGATCGCCTTATCTCCAAAGGAACTTTACTACCTTAATCATATGACTTGACGACAAGTATTCAGCCTGCAACCTCAGATTCCTTTTTGGTCTCAAACTTCATCTTTTTTATCATCTACGATTTCCGATCGTGTACCTCGGCAATTTTCTAATTTTGTTTCAAAATTTTTGCTTCCTTCTTTCTTTCTTTCTTTCTTATTTCTTATGGTTTTTTTTCACTCACAGATATCATCAGCAACTCACCTTTTTCAT